AAATGGTAGATGAATTGAGTCGATCGAGCTAGGATAGTACTCAACATCAATCCAAATGATAGAACTAGGGGGATTCAAGCTAAGAGAGCTTCGAAACTTGTAATTAGCTAGGGTAGTGGTTATGTTAGTATAGATAGGTTAGTTTCTTAATCACTATTCTTGGTTGGTAGATAACTACACCTCAACCAAAGTAAGGTACATCTAGGAGACGTGTGGTTCGATATTTTTATTGCTTGCTTACCCTATACTACACCCGGTCGTCGGTTATGCTTGGCCTTCAATTGAGATGTGTAGTTAGAGTTGAGCCAATCATGTTATGGGAGAGATTATCACGGTCAGCCGCCGTGAAAATGGAGCTGAGGGTGACATTGGACAACTTCCAGGAGGCTCACTATGTCTCATGGACAGAATCATTGTCACGATCACAACCTTCATAATTGTGAAGAGATTGTGAAGTTGGGCATGAAATGACAGCGATTTCAGTCAAGATCACGTGCAGCCTGTGGAGATCACTGTAGTGATCCTTGAATGTGATGTCTGCACTCGGGCTGTATAAAAAGCCAGTAGTTGGGAGAGATAAAGGAGAGCTTGATTGCTTTTGGAGAGCTTGATTGTTTTAGGGTTCCAACCCAAAGCACCCAAAGAGGCATTTCTAGAGAGAGAGTGAGTGAGTGAGAGAAAGTGATTTTGAGTGATCTTGGAGGTTAATTGGAGGCTTGGGTTGATCTTGGAGTCAAAGATTGAAGCTTAAAAGATGAAGATCTTGAGCTATTTTGTAATCTCTCTCTTATCTCTCTAGAATTAGCTCTCTTCTCTTAGGTTGAAGAACCCTAGTTCTAGATTTTAATTTGATATTGATGTATGTGGCGAATCCTATGTTTAATTGGTCATTTTATTTAGTTGATGGATGGTTTTCATGAATTGCATGAGATCTACATGTCAATTGAGGTTTTGACTAGGAGGGAGGTAATCCCCTTAATCAAAACCCATTATTGGCATCTTAGGGTCACTCCTATCGTATGAACTTCCGGGTAATCCTCGAGGGAGTTGATTTGATTGATCTCTTGACGACATATGTTTTCCATATGTTGAATAGCATACTACCAATTCATCGCTACACCATTCCGGGTCAATACACGAGGTAGTCAATCTCCTATTGGTACACAACAATGGTCCAGATGACGGAACTATGGGGATTCAAGCTAATATAGCTCCAAACTTGTAATTAGCTAGGATAGTGATTAGTTAGATTAGTTTCTTAATCACTATTCTAGGTTGGATAGATAACGAAACCTTAAGCCGAAGTAAGGTACACCTAGAGACTCGTGGTTCAATAATATTATTATTTGTTTACCCTATGCTACACCCGCCCATCGATTGAGATGTGTAGTTAGAGTCGAGCCACTTGCCTTAACCTGAAGTCGAGAACAACAAGCAGGAAAGATCCGACGATGATGAGGTGGAATGCCGTGTTGGCCTCCGTCATGGCGGTGAGGATGATGCGGTGCAGGTTCGGGGATCGAGCGAGCAGGCTTCTTGCCTTCTCTGCGTGGCGAGGTGGAGACGGAGAGGATGAAGATGGAGAGAAACAATGAGGTGTAATTTTGTGAGTCGGCCACCGTCAAGGCAGGTGAGGATGACTGTGCTGGATTGGGAAAGTAGGCTTCTCGTCTTTTCTAGCGTAGTGAGGTGGAGATGGAGTGGAGGGAGGACGTAGATTGAGACCGGAGAGAAACGAGAAGCTCTATTCGCATGGCGTGAGGCAGCAGTAGGGAAGAGATTGAAAATTAGGTTTGGACGGGTTTACTAATCAAAACGTCGTCGTTTTACTACTGTTACTATGTGGGGGGTTAATGACACAAATATTGTTTTTTTTAATTTACCACTAATATGGCCAATTAAAAAGTATTGACACAGATATTGTGGTTTAGAGATAAGAATCGGCGAGGCCACCTGAGACTCAGGCGCTGTCGCTTTAGCTTGGTTTTTGGACCGTTTTATTTAGTTGGCAGCGGCGGCGCTCAAGACTCAGGCGGCACCGCCTGAGACCTAGTCGAGTAGGTGGGAAATCATCCCAGGCGGTGGCGCCCGAGACTGAGGCGGCACCGCTGGCTTATTGCTGGCCACCCACCTTATAAAACCCAGACAATTTCGTTTCAGATTCACACCACAAAAAAAATCGTCCAAAATAGAGGAGAGAGCTCTGGTTGCTGCTGCAAAAATGGCTAATAGGTAAGAGACACATTTATTTTTGTAATTATATTATTCAAATGCTATTATGATTGTGTTTAATTTTAATTAGTGAGTTTGTTTTTTTGTAGTGATTTTAGAAGATTTGAACTAGTTGTTCGGTGGAAATCGGAGAAAGTAGAGGATAATTTGGGCATCAAATTCGTTTGGTGGTAGTAGTTTTCAGTTGACGGTTCCATCCAGAGTCACATATCACAAACTTTGTGAGATTCTAATTCCGAGAATACGGCGCAGAGACGAAGCAGTAAAAGATAGTGATGTGATCACAGGTTTCACTTACCGTCTTCCAGAATGGCAGAATGATGTTTTATTTCATTATGCGATACCTATTGTGGATGATGATAGCTTGAATGTGCTTTGGAATTTTATGGCACAAAATTCTTATTGTTTGGGTGCTGAGATACATGTTGAGCTCAGTGAGGATCAGGGTGGAGAGGAAGAAGATGATACATGGAGCGTGCCATCCGATCATGACTATGATGACGGTGATGACGGAGAGGAGGAAGATGAGGAGGAGGAGGAGGAGGAGGAGGAGGAGGAGGAAGGAGAGCAGCTTAATCATCCTCCATATTTTTACTTGCAGGGTAATGAAGAGGACGAAGAATTATCACTTGCTGATTCATATGGCGTAATTCCAATGCCTATTGTTGATAGTTTTGAAGGAGAATTCTACAAGGAGCAGATATTTCACTCGAAACAAGCTGCACAGATGGCGATTAAACACCATGCACTACAACGCAACTTTCAATATGGCGTGGTGGAGTCGTCACCTTCAATATGGAAGGTCAGATGCTTGAGGCACAAGGATGACAATTGTCCTTGGATGGTGTGGTTTGGATGTCGAGATGTTGGGGGCGAATGGACTGTGAGAAAGGCTAAGTTGGTGCATTCTTGTAGCAGTACGACTCAACCGATGGATCATCGCCATCTTGATGTCGACATGATATCTGAGGCCGTCAAACATTTGGTACGTGCCCAACCAAATCTGAGTGTTCTAATTGTTCAAGCCGAGTTGAAAGATAAGTTTAATATGCAAGTTACTTACAAGAAGGCTTGGTATGGGAAACAAAGAGCATTGGAGAAGTTGCATGGAAATTGGGAAGAATCCTACAATTTTTGCAAACATTCTTGCGGGTGGTCAAGAGAAAAATGCCAACATCGGTGATAGATTGGGTAAGAGTTCCTTCGACTCAACCAGGTCATTCAATATTTCAGCGAGTATTCTGGGTTTATGGACCTTGTATAGATGGATTCAAGAATTGTCCAGGCGTCATGGTTGTGGATGGAACATTTCTTACTGGGAAGTATAAAGGAGTGCTACTCATGGCGAGCTCATTTGATGGCCGGAAGAAGATTTTTCCAATTGCATTTGCCATAGTGGAGAGCGAGAATACTGAGAGTTGGCCATGGTTCATGAGGAAGGTTCAAGGTTTGACTGATCGAAATGATGTATGTATCATCTCAGATAGACATGCAGGACTCTATGAAGCCATGAATAACATCGGAAGAGGTTGGGAGTGGAGGTGGTGCATGCGACACTATGCAAGCAATTTGCAAAGGAAGACTAAAAGCAAAATTATGTATAATCAACTATTTCGAGTCGGTAAGCTTTCTTCATTTAATTTTGTTATTTGTTTTCATGTAATTTTGTCATGAATTTATCTAACCCGTGTTGTGGTTTATTTTGTTAGCCGGAGAAAAACGGTTAGAGAAGTTTGATCGTCAAGTTGAGCAATTTAAGAAGGTGGCCGCTGATAGAAATATTTCATGTGATAACTGGGTGGATCAACATCAGATTCGTTGGAGTTTAGCACATGATAACTACAATGGTTGGGGTCGTTGGTCTATCCTGACATCCAACATGGCAGAAAGCGTCAATGGTATTTTCAAAGGTATTCGTGCACTTCCTATAGCTTCACTTGTGCAGCATACCTATTGAAGATTGGTGGAGAAATTCGATAAGTATAGGTTGGAGACAGGAGCAGAAATTAGAAGTGGCGGTTCATAGTACTCTGCGGCGGCGGCGCCTCAGTCTTGGGCGGCAGCGGTTGCGGAGGGAGGCTGGTAGGGAGGGTTCTCTGGTTCGGGGTTGGGGGGGGGGGGGGAGATGTGGGATATGTGGTGTGGAGGAGTGAAGAAGAGGAAGGAAGAAGAAGAGGAGATAAGGTGGGAGGGGCCCGAAGTCGGTATTTAAAAAAAAAAGAGGGTGGGGCGCTGCCGCTGGAGACTCGGGCGCCAGCGCCTAGGACTAAGTCAAAAAAGTGACTGAGGCGGGGCCGCTAGAGACTGGGGCGCCAGCGCCCAGGACTGGGTAAAAGATCAGTCACGCCTGAGTCTCAGGTGGTCCCGCCCCAAATCTTACTAAAAAACACAATATCTGTGTCAATACTTTTTAATTTGCAATATTAGTGGTAAATTAAAGAAAAACAATATTTGTGGGTTTCCGGTATCCGGTTAGCTTGCTTGTCGGGAAAAAAAAATCGGAACCTACCTGGTATACCATTTAGCCCCTCGCGCCTACCGTCATTCGTTAACCAGTAAACACGATTACGACTATGATAATAGGTTACACCGTCAATTGGAGTAGCGTCTACCAACCCTAGTAAGAATCTATAGCAGCAGGGAAACCCGAGAGGATAAAAATGTTGTCAAAGCCGAGCCGGAGTATGACCCGGTAACGTGAACGGCTTGGTCATTAGTGGTCCAGCCGACATTAGACCGTTTATAAACCGCCAGAGAACCGGTACCTAATAAACAGTCATTTGTAATAGTAGACACTTCTTAATCATGGTAAACCACAAGTAAATTACTCTCTTAAACCATTCTAGAGGTCATTGAAATCAAAATGATGCAAATTAACATTACAATCAACCAGAAATTTGCATCAATTAGGTTTAACAAAATTAACTTACCTCGAGCAGGAGGTGAGTCGGCTGGTGGGAGATGTTGCGGACTGTGGAGGTGAGATGGCTGGAGCAGGGCAGTGGTTGGGGGAGATGTTGCGGCAGGAGTAGGGCTGCAGGGGCTGCTTGCGACGATGGCGGGGAGCAGAAGCAACGATGGCGACTGGCGATGGCGCTGCTTGCGGTGATTGCGAGCTGCTTGCGCCGGGAGCGGGGAGAAAAAGCGACGATGGCGACTGGCGATTGGCGATGGCGCGCTGCTTGCGGCGACGGGACGGAAGCGCTGGGGTCCTGGGGCGATGGTTGACGGCGGTAGGGTGGCGCCGCCCTCCCTCTATCGTCTGTTCTACTTCTAGGTCGAAGATGGAGAAATAAAAGGAAAGTTAGGGTTTTGTTTGGCTGCCCAATTCCACGATTCCTTTTCTATTTTTTTTAGGGTAAACCAAACGGCCGAACCGCGCGACCGGCTTGAGCGGCTCGAGCGGTTAACCGCTTCGGCCGCTCGCCGACCGTTGTATAAAACCGTGGCGGTTAAATAGCTGATCCGAGCCGGTTTTATGGTCGGGTGGCGGCTTTGGCGGTCCGGCCGGCCGGCTCGGTTCGGCTTTGACAGCACTGGGATAAGGGATGAGATTAGGTGCTAATTCTTATAGGGGTTAGCACCGTGATAACTAGTAAAAAACGCTACTAAAAATAACGAAATCACTACGGATTATTATAAAATCAATACAACATCTAAGCTAAATCACTACTAATTCAAACTAGTAGTAGCTTTTCTCTTGGTTAGGACGGTGCTAACTATTGTACTATTAGCACCGTAACCGCTCCCCTGGGATAAACAAAACCAAACGAAAGAAGAAAGAGAGAGAGAGAGAGCGCTTTGGTGTTGCCGACTGTTGAGATTTGAGCCATCTATCTCGCGTCCACTTAAAGCGCGTGGTGGCGGGGAGGGAAGTGGTTCCGGAGGTGCCAAATACAGAGTGCCCCTGAACTCAGACTCAGTAACTCACTCCTCCTCCCCTATCTTTTCTTTTCTAATAAAATAAATAATAAAATAAATATGATGTATTTTCTTCTCAGCAGAATTTCCCCCATTACATAAATTCCAAACATTTTCTGGATTTTGTCAGCTCTTCCCCCTTTCCACTTCCTTCTTTCCTTGCAACGCCAAAAAACAACTCTCTGCCTCTGCCGCGCCAGGGAAGGAGGAAGAAGAAGCAAGCCAGCAAGCCGATAATAAAGATTCCAAGACTCTGAATAATACTCCTCTGATAGTATAGTATGAACCATAGCTTCCAAAACACTCTTCCTCTGCTTCCAAATCTCCATTCCCTCTTCTTCTTCTTCCCCTCGCCGACCCGCTGAAGGAAAGATTTCCCCTCTCTCTCTCTCTCTCTCTCTCTCGCCCAGATTCCACCACCACCTTCGTATGGCCAAGACGGAAGTGTTCGATTCCGATCCCACCCACATGGCCAGAGCAGCGGAATTGAAGAAGGAACTCCAGAAGCTCGTCAACAGCATTGTCGGCAACGAGGATTACCGCACCGAGGCCATCGATCAGGCGAATGACACCCTCCGTGCTCTCAAGGACCTCAAGCTGAGGAGCAGGAAGAGATCCCCTCTCTCTATCGAGGTCCCCAACCGCCAGTCCGACAGCGTGTCGTCGCCGGCACCGCCCACTTGCCCGGAGGAGTTCAAGTGCCCTCTTTCCAAGGAATTGATGAGAGATCCTGTGATTTTGTGTACTGGGCAGGTGAGTGACTTCTTGCTTTCTCTCGTCAAGATTCGCTTTTCTTTCTTTAATTAAATTTTTGTTTCCCCTGTTTCGCTCGCTGCTCCTTTTTTTTTTTTTTTTTTGTTTGGTTGATAGGGAAAATGCAGAGTATGTGAAAATGACCCTTGCGGTGCTGTGGAATTCTTTTTCCCTTTGAGCACTTGTCTTTTATTCCAGTTTGTCAATTTGTCCAGAGTTTCTTCTTTGTGGCATGCTTTTGTGAACCATCCAACCCAGTCACATATCCTTTCTAACTCTAGTCAAATCTTTTTTTGTTTTGGATTTCTTGGTTACCATTCCCTCCGGCGAGGCTGGTTGTTTGTCATCCGTCGATTTACCGATTTGCTGACCCCCTGTTTATTTTCTCGGGAAACAAACAAGCAACGTTTGAGTTGACCATTTTCAGAAGGGTGATTTGGTTTAGGTTGAGAGCCTAATCTGCTTTTTTGGGTCAAATATTTATTACAGAATTAACTCTCCCCGATTCTGAAATCTGGCGGGTTGGTGGAATTAAAGTTACCGTAGAGTAGATGCTTGTACTATTTCTGAGACTCTGAAAAGTAGGGAAAATTTTGTGTGACAGGGTGAAATTTGGCCAATTTAGAGTCCAATTTATTGCATTATCTTCTTTCCTTCGCCGTTTATGATATTTGCTGCTGTGGAAAAAAGTTACAGCAGCAGTTGCATGGATGATAAATATTACCAGTAGTAGAGTAGTCACTTTCTTGCTGGGAAAATATGGTCTGGTTATGCCAGCAGGAGAGCAGTACTTGTGATATTCATTCATTTTTGTAATTGCTATACTTTTCTTTCTTATGCTTTAACTGGGATTTTTTTTGTTTGTTTGTTATGCAGACCTATGATAGGCCGTTCATTAACAAATGGCTGGAAACAGGCAACCGAACTTGCCCTCTAACCCAACAAGTCCTCTCCCACACAAACCTGACTCCAAACCACTTGATCCGGGAAATGATATCACACTGGTGCAAGAATCAGGGCCTTGAGCTGCCTGACCCGATTCATTACATGAACGTGGAAGGAATAACATCATCAGATCGCGACCGGTTTCTATCCTTGCTCGAGAAGCTGTCTTCAGCGCTTCCCGAGCAGCAAGAAGCTGCTAAGGAGCTTCGTCGACTGACCAAAAGAACCCCTTCCTTCCGAGCACTGTTTGGGGAGTCCGACAATGCCATCCCTCAATTGCTCAGTCCACTCTCTGGCAACAAGTCTGGAAGCTCGGTCCATCCGGAACTTCAAGAAGATGTGATCACCACCCTCCTCAACCTATCGATACACGACAACAACAAGAAGCTCGTAGCTGAAACGCCAATGGTGATCCCTCTTCTCATGGAAGCACTGAGGGCTGCGACCACTGCAACTAGGGCTAATGCTGCTGCAACCCTTTTCACACTGTCTGCACTTGATTGTAACAAGTTTCTTATTGTGAAATCCGGTGCGTTGAAACCGCTTCTCGACCTTCTGGAAGAAGGGAATCCCCTGGCTATGAAGGATGTCGCCTCGGCAATTTTCAACCTGTGCCTTGTGCACGAGAACAGGGCTCGAGCGGTGAAGGATGGTGCCGTGAGGGTGATTCTGAAGAAGATAATGGAAGGGGTTTTGGTGAATGAGTTGTTGGCTATACTTGCTATGCTTTGTAGTCACCAAGGGGCTATCATTGACATGGAGGAACAGGGTGGAGTTCCTTGTCTGCTGCAAATTATGAGGGAGAGCTCATGCGAACGAAGCAAGGAGAACTGCATTGCCATCCTTCATACAATCTGCTTCTACGACCGGAGCAAGTGGAAAGAGGTGAAGGATGAGGAGAGTTCATTTGGGACGATCTCTAAACTTGCCAAGGATGGAACTTCGAGGGCCAAGAGGAAGGCAAACAGCATTCTGGAGAGGTTTAACAGGGCTGTCAATCTTACTCATACAGCCTGATCATATATGCTGGGATATATCACTACTGGGTATCGATGTAAATTCTTCATCTGGGTTTCTGGCAAAACTTTGCTTCTGGTGGGTCATCGATTGCATATGGATGACGGGGATCTTCATATATGTCTGTAAATTCTCTTCTGCAGCTGAGGTTTGTGGCTAGCCACCTGTGAATAAAATAGACCAAGAGCTTTGTGATTTGAAAAAAGGACAAAGAGTTGGGGAAAAAAAAAAAAGAGAAACAATGGAGTTTTTTCTCTTGTCCTAATCTTTTTTGTAGGCCTACCATATTTTCTGGATATTATTACTAGTAAGAGTTTTGGCAGCTTCAGATGTGTGCTAGCAAATAGCAATAGCACAGCAGTAGTTAGGTTGTAGTAACGTTGTGTCATCCATGGCCCCTCGCTCACATGTTGATAATTCCCCTCCATTAGATTTGTCTGTCAGTTAAATGGGTCCAACTGTGTTGTGTTTGCATCCCACTGTTGACTGTTACAGCTTTGGATGGTAATATTTTAGCTGCAGTTGTCTTCTTGCAACTTGATGCAATGTTGGAGGGGCAAAGTGGTGATAGACTGATCTTAGCTGTTTCTTCTTCTTCTTGAAGAGTGTTTGGAGAGGGAGAGTCCTAACCAAATGAATCCAATGGCCCTATAGATAAGGGTATGTTTTGTTTGTCAAACGGGAATACTGTGTGGCCACATTGAATGGCCTATGCACTCTGTCTGTGATTTTTCTGGTATTCCATGTTGATGTGGTCCATCCAACTCTTGTTTGCTTGCAATGCAACAGTTGTATGCCCAGAAAAGTCACATATTTGTAAAAGAGAAAACAGGGGAAACCAAGAAATGTGCACATTTCTTTCCCTTCTAAGAGGTGTTTGAACTTGAAATGAATATACCCAAGTACATTCCTAAACCATATGTCGGCTCAACAGTTTGCCTTGTTTAAATTTTGATCTTGTTTGTATTGTTTTCCCCGTCGGTGCTGTCGGTTTGGTTACATGCATCCAATTAGGGGAGTCCTCTTTTTCACTGTGATCGTCAGCTGACATTAATTATCACAACTGGAGTCGATTATTCTTTTAGGGTGATAGATTGTCCATTTGTCCTCAATTTGTGCCAAAAAGAAAAAAAAAACCCATAAAATATTGAACAAAAAAGTGAATAATGGAGAAGATATTTTGGTGGTTTCTCACATTATTATAATGTATATCTCTGGTGCACATCATTTTCCACCTTTTCTTTTCACAAACAAAGTTTTAATCTTTTTCCCACCGATGAAAAGCTGCAGGCTTTATCCCTGCTTCTGAACTGCATTGTGAATTCCTGCCTGATATCAAAGGACAACCGGACTTTTAATTATAAACCAACTTAGAAGACTAGAAATAATTAAAATTGGGACATGGAAATAACTTGAAATCGACAAAATGGCATTGTAAGGTAAAACGTTGGTTAGTGGGTGGGTTGATTTGGTACTTTGGAGTTTGGATAATTGTTCTCCTTCTAGCAATTGGTGTGTTAGGGGTGGGCAATCGGTTCGGTAAACCCGAACCGAACCAAAATCGAATTAAACCGAACCAAAACCGAATTAATGCTATTTGGTTCGGAATTCGGAAGGAAAATATGGATAGTTCGGAAATCAGAGTTCTCTCAACCGAAACGAATTTTCGACCGAAAAACCGAAATACTATAATTGCAAGCTCCAAATGGTGGATTTTTATGTTTGTAGTTGTTTTAAGACTTAAATATTTGAAATATTTTATGACTTATGTGTTGAAAAGTTTGATTTTATCATTGATGATGCATATAATTACATATTTATTGTTTATATTAGGGGTAAAAAATAATTAAAAAGTGAGAAGATACAAGTAACTTCACAAATTCGGTTTTGTGTGAAAAACCGAACCGAACCGAATTATAATTCGGTTTAAACCAACCGAACCAAATTCGGTTCGAATTCGGTTTGAGGTTTGGGAGAA